CGGTCTCTCTTTTGATCTGTAGATCATATCAGAAGATATAAGCGAGCTTCAAAAAAATCAGACTACGACCATGGCCAAAATCGCTCAGTACAAAAGAAAGCTAATGGATCTTTCCCATCGAACTTTGCAGGTAGGCCTGTGCTGGCACATAACTTTGGTGGGTTTTTTTTAGCCCTTCAGTAAAAGAGGACTGAGCAGGTTCGCCTTGTTTAGGTTTAAAAATGTAAAAGGTACAGAAATCTTTTAATTCAGTCAGGAAGTCCACCCAATGAGATGGCATTAGATTCAGGCTAGAGCAGTGGTGGCGAACCTATGGCACGCGTGCCAGAGGCGGCGCTCAGAGTCCTCTCTGTGGGCACGCGCACCATTGCCCCGGAGATGGCAACCGTCCCTCTTCAACCAGCCATCCGCTAACTCACCGAGGTCCAACGTGGCCGGATGCATCCCAGCATGGCTGGTTTCCCTCCCTCCCACCCCATCCCTCCTGGCCTCGCATGTTCTCCTTTTCCAGGGCACAAATCACTGCATTGCCTCCTCAGCTGTCAACCGACCGTCCAGCTCAGAGGCGGCTTCTCTGAACTGCTGGCGGTGGGCTGCGGAGCCCCAGAGTGCGCCGGTCGAGGGGCTGGCAGGCTGTGGCTGCTGACGGACGCTGTCGGCCCCCATGCGCTCGCTGGCCTCTGTGTGTGTGGGGGCCGATGGTGTCAGGCAGCAGCCCCCCCGGCCCCTGCCTTGCCTTGCCCTATGACAATGGCAGCCCTGCCTCGCCATGCCTCGCCTCACCCCGCAGGACAAGCCTCCTGCCCACCGCCCCACCTGCCAGAGACCCCCTGGATCTCCCCCAACCCTGCCCGGCCCCCACAGGCGTCCCTCCCCATGAGCAACATCAAGATGACCATGCCTACCTTGGCCACACCCACCCAGTTTGCCATGACTACCACAGCCACGCCCACCCAGTGGGCCACGCCCACCTGGCACCCGGCGATACATAAGTGGGTTTTGGGTTGCAGTTTGGGCACTCGGTCTCTAAAAGGTTCGCCACCACTGGGCTAGAGAGAAAAAAGCACCTCCTAGACTAGTAAATGTATAGAAATACAGTTGTATTCTGAAGAGTTACACTTTCCAAATGTTGCAGTGCTGTTTCATCCATTTATTGAACTTATTTTTAGTCCATCCAATAGCCTACAAAAACACATGCATTGGGAACGGGAATATTCATAAATATAAGTTAATGGATGTATTAAAAAATATGACATGTAATATATGGTAGAACGTTACTTGCCGAAGAGAGAAATATAACGAACTTTTCTAGAGGAAAATGCTTATATTAAGAGAAATATGCATAGAAATATCTCCAGATTTTGGTAAGATTTTGCAGTCGGTGTAGGGATGGGGAAATAATGAGCTAAACAAGAGACTGAATTGCTAAGGTCTGCTACAGATCCTTTTTTTATCCCTCTTCCCATCTATTTTAGATATAAGGGAAAACGGCGCTGGGTTCTGCAATCTCAATATAGCTAGCCAGGTGCTCCGTGCCCTTTCTCTCTTAGTGTATGTTACAGTTTTTAATTCTCACTGTGAAACCTCCACATTGCCCTTGTGGCTTAAAGTAGGTAGTAAGCAGTCAGTCACAAAGAACCAGAATGACACTCTGAACTGACCAGAGTTGCTTCTTTATTGTTGCTTGCCTATTTACAGGAATCTCACCAGACCGACTACATTCTACTGGTAGAAGAGAGTATTTATAGTTCAGAGTTGAACTGGGGGGGTCCTTGGTGCTCTCTGAGCTGGCTTGTTTCCTTGCAGACATTTCATGACCCAACTAGGTAACATCATCAGTGCCATTAGGGAGTGGGGTTTGCTCTCATTCTATATACTGCGTTCTCTTGGGAACTGCCAGATAAAGGTTTCAGGAATCCCAGACTGGGTGGGGTGGGCTCTCTCTGTGTGTATGTGTGTGTGTGGCCTCTGTCACTTCCTTCCCCGCAAGGATTCCAAGCTTATCAGTCTTTTCACTCCTCCCCCCATCTAGCTGGAGATCCCACCACAACATTCACAGCACGCTGTGGGATGGCGTTCCATTGAAATAAACATGGACCGGGTTAATCTCCCAAAGGATTAACTTTACAGAATACAACTTTTGAGACCTGTAATAATTTGTTGTGGGTTTTTTTGAAATATTTGTGGCAGGTGCTCATCAAGCAGGAGATCCAGAGGAAAAGCGGGTACGCCATCCAGGCAGATGAAGAGCAACTCCGGGTGCAGCTGGATACGATCCAGTGCGAACTCAACGCCCCTACCCAGTTCAAGGTGAGCCGCTCAGAAGCTTACGGCGAGACTCCGAATGTCAGACTCTAAGCAGCCAGAACAATGCTAACAATAGGTCAAATAGGTTTGTTTATTATTGATCACACGTATTGGGTGCCTCCAGACCCTACAACTTTAAGACCTGTGGACTTCAACTCCATGCTGGCTGGGGAATTCTGGGAGTTGAAGTCCACAAGTCATCAAAGGGCCAAGTTTGAAGACTCCTGCAATCCAGACACAAGGATGAGAGAACGACCTCCTACAACATAGAGGGCACAATTCCTCCACTGTGCCTTGCAGGGGTCTCCAAACCTGGCTGACCTGAGGAATTCTGGGAGTTGAAGTCCACAAGTCTTAAAATTGCCAAGTTTGGAAAGCCCTGACCTATATTACAAGAATTTGGCCAGACTGTCTGCCTCCCCTCGGGAAACAGCAGATATAGACCTAAAAGGGATTGTCCTTACACGTTTCCTATCCTGAATGGACTCTTAAGCTGGAATGTCTTTTAACACCCTGCCCAATTGGGGCTTCCTCTCTTTCAGCTGTGGTTCCAGTGCTCTACAGGTAGTGATTAATAATATTTATATGTTGTTGTTGTTAGTTGCAAAGTCGTATCCGACCCATCGCGACCCCATGGACAACGTTCCTCCAGGCCTTCCTGTCCTCTACCATCTTCTGGAGTCCCATTTAAGTTCACGCCTACTGCTTCAGTGACTCCATCCAGCCACCTCATTCTCTGTCGTCCCCTTCTTCTATGGCACTCAATCTTTCCCAGCATTAGGCTCTTCTCCAGTGAGTCCTTCTTTCTCATTAGGTGGCCAAAGTACTTGAGTTTCAACTTCAGGATCTGGCCTTCTAAAGAGCAGTCGGGGTTGATCTCTAGGACTGACCGGTTGGATCGCCTTGCAGTCCAGGGGACTCGCAGGAGTCTTCTCCAGCACCAGAGTTCAAAGACCTCCATTCTTTGGCGCTCAGCCTTTCTTATGGTCCAACTTTCACAGCCATACATTGCAACTGGGAAAACCATGCCCTTGACTATGCGATTTATATGTTACTTATGTGTAAAGGGTGTAGGTATATACATATGTTGTACGTAGCATGTTTAAATGTGTGTTATGTATGTGTACAGTTCGGAGAACAAGCAACAAAACCTCATTTTTAATGTGTGCCATTTTGCCCACAGGAAAAAAAATGACAATAAGGTGTATCTAATCTAATCCAGTTCTTGAATGAGAAGCACAATTGAGCCCGATTTTTCCATTGCTAAGCAAGGCGGTTGTTAAATGAATTGTGCCCCATTTCACATTCTTCTTCTGCCACAGTTGTTAAGCAGTTCTCCGTCGTTAAGTGGCACATGCCGTCGTTACGTGAATCCGGCTTCCCCCATTGACTTGGCTTGTCAGAAGCCAGCTTTGAAGGTTCACAAAAGGGGGATTACGTGATCCCGGGACAGTGCAACTGTCATAAACACCGGCCAGTTGCCAAGTGCCTGGATTTTGATCACGTCACCCTGGCGATGCTGGAGCGGTCAAAAGAGTGAAAAACTAGTCCTAAGTCACTTCTTTCCGTTGTAATTTCAAATGGTCATTAAATGGTTATAAGTCGAGGACTGTATAAGCTTTGAAAGTAAAAGATGTCGTAGAGTTTGTACAGGACATGTTACTTAAATTGCATTTTGGAAGCTCCTTTGAGGGTTTCCAGACAGGTGCATCCAGTTTTAACAACACTATTCCTGTTTGAAAATCTTGAATAACAGATTAAGCCATGGAGTCCTTGGAACAGCTATGGATTTGTTCCAGGTTACAGCTTTAAAGGCGTTAACGAGTTAGGTAATCTTCCCGCCTCCCTAAATTCTTTTTAAGTTGCCAGCGAGGAAATCACCCTTTTGAATATCTGACTGTGCAAAACAACAGCCGTGAAGATCCCTTCCATCCGAGGCACTAATTTTATATGCAGAAATGGTGCTCTTTTCTTTTTTGTAGATAGGAAAATGCAACAGAAATAACACAGCCCGCTCTTCCATCTCATGTAACGAACGCCTAAGCTAGATTTGAATTTTGTAACGATCTCTTGCAGGGCCGTTTGAACGAGCTGATGTCACAGATCAGAATGCAGAATCACTTCGGAGCGGTCAGATCTGAGGAGAGATACTATATTGATGCCGATCTCTTGCGGGAAATCAAACAGGTGTGCGGGGATTGGGATTTATCACGGACTAAATCGATAAACCCGGGGCTGAAATCTCTGCTCGAGTCTTCAGAGAATTTATCTAGATCAGGGGTCTTCAAACTTGGCCCTTTGATGACTTGTGGACTTCAACTCCCAGAATTCCTCAGCCAGGCACGCACGCGTGCCTGGCTGAGGAATTCTGGGAGTTGAAGTCCACAAGTCATCAAAGGGCCAAGTTTGAAGGCCCCTGATCTAGATTATCATTGTTTTAAAAAAAATACTGGGCTGTAACTTTCTGTAACTACTGAGCTATGAATGCTTTTTGAACACCCTGTCGGCCCAAATATGGGGGAGAGAAGTCTTTTGCCTGTATCAGCTCAACCTAGAGCCATCCACAGGCAGCAGTCGCTTAACTGCGACATCATATGTGTTTTTCAAAATTTGGATTGCTAACAAAGAATTAAGGGAGTACTGGGATAGCTATTTCAGACCTTATTAGGTTTTCATCAGCCAGACGTACCCTTGCTGAGATTCGAACCTGGGCTGTCTGCATGTTAAGCAGAAGTGTTAGCCCCTAGGCCACAGGCTCTTTCTCACTTTGTTAGCTACAAGAGACAGGGGAAGACGATGAATGCTTTTTGAACACCCTGTCGGCCCAAATATGGGGGAGAGAAGTCTTTTGCCTGTATCAGCTACTGAGCTATTTATAAAAATAATAAAGGCGGGATAAAAATAACCTAAGTAAATGCTCAAAGGGACGAATCTCATGCAATTTTTCCCCCTTTTTTTTAGCATTTGAAGCAGCAGCAAGAAGGACTAAGTCACCTGATCAGTATTGTAAAAGATGACCTGGAAGACATAAAGCTGATAGAACATGGCTTAAACGAGAGCATTCCGGTTAGAGGGGGCGTCTTCAGTTGATCCGTTGGTCCTTTCCATTGACTGTACGGGCATAGAAAACACGTGGTTTTCCTTGGCTGAAATTCACTGGTTGGTTTTTTTGGACCTTAAATCTTAGTGAAGGTTCTGAGAGAGTGCCAGACACTTGGCATTCAGCCACGAAGGTCAAAGGGTAAAGATTAAAAAAAAAGCTGCACTTGATTTTTAAGATGGAAAGATACTTTACATACTGCTCTGTGATCTAAGCCTGCATTTCTATTTTATCAACTTATGTCTCATTTTGTTTTTTGTTTTTCCGAACAACACTTCCAGTGTTAAATGATCAGCGGGGAAAATAACACACCTTCTCTATATGAGAAACAACACAAAACAACTGGTTTAAAGGAGAAACACACCTGCAGTGTTTGGGAAAGAAATGCACAGGTCAAAGGTGGTTTTTTTTCCCCCCTTGTGCTTAACAATCGCACAGAAAGCTATAATTTTACATCCATTCATCAGAATTTACAATATTACTGAAAGGTAATAAAAACTGCTTTCTGTTATTCAGCCATAGGTTCTCTGTATAGCGGATCGCTTGTTTTCAAGATAACGACAGATGAAAACTGGGTCTAGGAGTTTTAATCTTGCCTAATCACTAATTAATCTGTTGGCCTAAATATCCTCTGAGATTCAGAGGATCCCTATCCACCATCTCCTGTTCCCAAGTAATACAACAGCACAGAAGCCTGCATTTGAAGCACTGCCTGTTGCTTAAACCACAGGGCTCTTCAAACGTGGCCCTTTTATGACTTGTGGACTTCAATTTCCAGAATTTCTCAGCCAGTGTGCTGGGAGTTGAAGTCCACAAGTCATAAAAGGGCCGAGTTTGAAGACCCCTGATGTGGATGGTAGCTGCTCTCAGGTTTTGCAGTTCTATTTGCTAAGAATGTGAAGAATGATCAAGAAATGCAGTTCTAAGGCAATTAACAAGAACCCACAGGCAAATGAATTCCCATGCTATTTTTTCCCCCCGTGTTTGTTCTTGCAAATAGTTAGAGCAAAATCAACCCAGTATCATTGTCAGCACGTTTGTAGAAAATTTCCTGATTGTTACCCATTTGCCAAAAGGATTTTGGTCAACAGCAGTAGACAGTATTTTTGCCTGCTGGAAGACTGTGGATGGATAATGCGAGATTAATTGGTCTCCTTCTCTAATTTAATAACCTTTTAAAAATATAAGATCCAAAAGGAGACTAAAGAGAAAGAAGACTAAGTTAATATTGAAGATTGGAACCTATGCTTAAGACTGGAATAAAAAACTGTATTTTTGAAATTTAGATTAACAATTCTGGTTAGAACCCTGTTTCTTCTATTCTATTTAATTTTTCTTGAAAAATTACATAACTACAGTGGTTTTGAAAAAAATCTGGAACTGTCTGACAAATCAACATGTAAATGAAATAGTCTTGAAACAAAGATACTTTTTGATTTCGGATTAGATACGATTGCGTAAGAGTTAACGTTGGACCTTTTTTTTGCTAATGTATTAATCAGCCAAACTTGGCAACGATAACATAGACATTTTTTTGTATTAGACCCACGTTGAAGCTAACGAAAAGGAAACACCCAGTCATTGGATACAGCTGATAAAACTTTATTCGTATTATGCTTTAAAATGGAGTAAGACATTAAAAGCAATGCAGCTTTTATCAGAAGTGTTTGCATTTTCTCAAG